GCTGCGCTGCCACTCTGCGGACAGCCCGCAGGCCAGCCCCCGACTCTGACTGGGCGCCCCCTGCTGGGCGGTGGCCCGTCCCGCCGTCCCTCCCGCCTGCGGTGCAGGGCCCGCGTCTCTCCAGCCACGATGCGGAGAAGCAGGGGTGAAAGAGGGAGGGGATGAAGGAGAGGACTCGAGGCAACAGCTTCAGGGATCTCACACTTTTATTGGAGGACGGCGGGGCGCGGCGCTCCGGCTGCGGTCTGCGGAGGGAAAGGGGCGGCCGTGCGGCGGGACACTGGTCACGTAACTTCCGAGCTGCGGCCCTCGCAGCCTCCCCCCTTCGGGTCCCCTCCTGCCTCCCACAGGAGTCTGATGACCCAGCGTGGGCTCCCCCGGCTTCCTGGGCACGCGGCCTCGTCCAGCCTAAGCGAGCCTGATACATAAAACCTGAGCTCACACCTACTTGGATTAGGCGAGAAGGCGTTGCCTCCCAGGAATTTACTACCTCCTCTTTCGTTCTCGTGCTTCTCTGATGCACCCTAAATATGTTCGATTTACAAAATAGTAACCATTTCTCCACACCCGTCATCTGCTGTGGTCTTGGGAAGCTCTGCAGTCCCCGAGTCGTTCTCAGTGTACGTTGGTGACTGTGGGTCCTGCTGCCTATTTGAGTGACGTTACACCCCTCACCTCTTTCCCCGGGCCCGGGGTCTGCCCACATTCGCTTGACTGTCAAGATGCCTATGGAACCCCATGCCACCACTGTCTTACTAATGGAGGATTTTTAGTATAATTATCTTCTGCTTCACTAGTGACTCTGATTTTTTTTTTTTTTTTTTGAGTCGGAGTCTCACTCTGTCGCCCGGACTGGAGTGCAGTGGCCGCTCCCGGCCACCGCAGCCTCGCCTGCTGGGCTCCGGCGATCCTTCCGCCTCAGCCTTCCGAGTAGCCGGAATTACAGGCGCGCGCTAACCACGCCCGGCTGATTTTTTGATTTATTGTAGAGATGAGGTCTCGCTGCCCAGGCGGGTCGCGGACCCGCCGGCTCAGGCAATCCACTCACCTCAGCCTCCCAAAGGCACGGGATTACAGGCTGAGCCACCGAGCCCGGCGTGACTCTGATTTTTAAGCGAAAACAGGCATTTTATAAGTTGTCTAGAATTCTCCTGGGGAAATAGGAAGGATTAGCGGATGGCAACCTGCTGTGTGCAAGGGCACAGAGAAACGGCTGGGGGTGCTGTGGAGGGCGCATCCCAGTGGTATCTCATTTTCCATGCCCCTCGGGCCCCAATTCTTAGCCACAATGGCCACTGGTGACCAGTGGCTGGTCTTGAATGCTGGGGCCCTCTCACCCCACTCACCAGTAGTGTCTGTGCCAGGTGCTGCATCCTGCGGAGGGACCACTTGGCTATGGTCCTGCCTTTCCAGGGTGCGCTGTCCTCTGGGGGATCCAGAGCATCACTTGGGAGGCTATGGGCTGTCTGAGCTGGGCTGCCTGCTGCAGTGTCCAGGTCCCTTCCTTAGAAGGGAAGTGAGGTTGCAGCCTGCCCTCCCTACCCCCACTTCAGGGCTTGGGCTCAGGGCAGGTAGAAGACCCCCAGCCAGCACCTTCTTCCTCTCACCCAGACTGGGGAGACTCATCACCCACCTGGGGACCTAAGGACACTCTGTGGGTCCTGGGATGAGCTGGAGGCTCGCTTTCCTCCAGGGTACCAGCCATGGGACCAGTGCTGAGCCTTCGAGGGTCCAGGGTGGGCAGTCAGCAGCAGCAGCAGCAGCAGGAGGCCTAGCCTGGAGCTGGCCATGGCAGGGCTGCTCTCATGGACAGTGGAAACCACTCAGAGTCTGACACTCCTACACATATCCTCTCCCTCTAAGGCCACCTTGGACAACTGGCATCTTAGGGGCACCTTTAGTATTTCCTAATGCTCTCTCCTCTGCTCCCTCTCATCCCAGGCCTCCAAGGATCTAAACCCCGAGGAATCCTGGCCCAGCAGGGGAGGATGCACCAGGAGGCCAGCTTTCCCCCAGGGCCCAAAGCAACCCTCCTGCCAGCTCTGAGGGCCCTCCCGATGGATCTTCCAGACCCATTCCTCCTTCCTTCAGGGAGCTCCAGAAGTGGAAGAAAGCTGGTGGATGGTCTGGGGAGTTCTTCGTGAGACAGACAACAAGGGGGGCATTTGCAGCCCCTTTTCTCTGTGGCCTGCCCTCCTCCATGGTAGCTGGGAGTGTGGGAATAATGGGGGCCAGCGCTTCCACCCCTCGTGTCTCCCAAGCCGGGGGCAGCAAACACAGGAATTTATAGTAAAGTTGTTGGGGAGAGAAGAAAAGGGGCTTTTCTGGGCATGGCTCAGGGCTGGAAGGGGCTTGGGAGGGGGGAAGAGGGGCCCTGCACCATGCATCCAGGATGGAGCTCCATCCAGGAGCACCAGCCCTGGAGGGCTCCTCACTCACCAGGGGAGAGCTGAGGATGATGCGGCTCCTTCAGGCGGCTGGGTGTGAGACCCTAGCCAGACAGCCCCAGGATTTATTGACCAGGCAGCTCCACCCCCGTCTCTCCAGCCAGACTCCTGTGACGTCTTCAAAGAGAGGAGCGGGAGCAACTGGCCGCCCAGTTCCCGTCCCACAGCATCCATTCCATGAACACACACTAGGCAGCCGTGGCCCTGAGGTCACCAGACAGATGCTCCCTTCCCATCTTCCCAGGGGCAAGTAATGGGACTCCTGCTCTTAACCTAGAAAGCTCTCACAGCCCTCCCTGACCCAAGAAGGGAATTGTGGCCTGGAGAGACATTACCTGAGGGATTTCCCTGACTCCCACCCAGCTCAGGGTTTTTCCTAGTGGAAAAGTGAGGCCTAAGAACAGACAGCCCGGCAGCTTATTCAAAGATATGTGGGAGGCTGTAAGCATCCTCTGAGAGCTTCCGTTTGCTCACCTGGGCTGGATGGAATGACTTGATATCCACATACATGGGCACTGGGGCTGGGTCACTCCAGATGGAAGTAGCTTGGGTGGGGCAGTTTCTATTAAGAATCAGTCCTAGTCGGGCTGGGTGGCTCAGCCTGTAATCCCGCACCTTTGGGAGGCTGAGGTGAGTGGATTGCCTGAGCCCGCGGGTTCAAGACCCGCCTGGGCAGCGAGACCTCATCTCTACAATAAATCAAAAAATCAGCCGGGCGTGGTAACGCGCGCCTGTAATTCCGGCTACTTGGAAGGCTGAGGCAGAAGGATCGCTGGAGCCCAGCAGGTCGAGGCTGCCGTGACCGGGAGCGGCCACTGCACTCCAGTCTGGGTGACAGAGTGAGACTCCAACTCAAAAAAAAAAAGAATCAGTCTTTCTCTCCTCCAAGAAATGAGCCCATGAGAGAGGGCCCAGCTGAGGGGCAGTGCAGCCTCCCCTGGGCTATTAGCAGGAGGTGGAATAATTTTGTCCCTCAAGGCCTCCCTCCCCCACAATCCTGTGCTCAACCCAGAACTATTTGTGGATTTTGGCATACCTAGCCTGGATTGCCTGCAATAGGCTCTTGCCCCCCAGTCTGCGTCAGCAGCTCAGCTTTCACTGCCAGGCACCAACCTCTGGGGTCAGAGGCTGTTTACAGGGTTAATAGCCAATCTAGGCATTTGGGCTGGACAGCAAATGGGAGGGACAGGGTCAGGCTTGGGATCATGGTGACCAGAGTCACCAGGAGAGCTGGTACGTCAAATTCTGTGACACAGATGGGAGAGGGGAGGCATAACAGACACCAGTTGGTTCTGGGCACCTGGATTTCAGCTACTGAGGCAGGATGGGCAGGAACCTGAAGATGTGTGGACAGTAGTTCAATTAAACTGTTTTGAGAAATATATACTTTGTTCACCAGGCGATTTTTAGGAAAACAGTTGCTTTGCGGTTTAGCAAAAATGACTGAGCTCAATAAACTAGCTTAGTTCTGGTTTGGATTTACAGAATGTTTTATTCAAAGTCCCTGATGTTTATTTTAAAAGAGGAATGGGGTGCCTTTATTTTTTCTATAATTTGATTATGGTTTTTCCTGAAAAACCCAAACCAGAAGCGAGTTTCCCAGGGAAAGCTCTGATCCCTTTTTTTCTGGCAACATTCTTAGCTTTTCAGAAATGTTTCACATCCTTCCCAGACGTATCAACTCTGGTATCCCTCTCATCAGAACACAGAAAGCTGTCTCTGTTCACCACAGAGCTCCAACCAATGCTCAGTCCTAAGGATACGAAGACAGTGCAATTGGGAGCTGCTCAGCAGAGCTTTAGAGCTGAGTGAATGCTCAGGTGCTGTGGGAGCAGAGTGGCACAAACCGTGAGCACATGGCCGGGGGTGAAGGATGAAGATGAATTAGCTAGTCACAGAAGCCGGGGATGGTAGCAGTGGGCTACTGTAGCACAAGGACAGCGCAGGGGCAAGCAGGAGCTGCCAGTGGATCCGTGGGACTGGAGCACAGTGGGGATGGGGAATGAGAGTGGGCAGGAAGAAAGGATGGTGGGCTCCTGGTTGTGGGCAGCTGGAGACAGGTGCTTCTGGGCCCTACGACCTGGGGTTGGGGGAACCAGGGATTGGAGGAGAGCTGAGGGTCCACGAAGAAAGGCCTGGAATCTTGATTTCTGAGAAAGGAGAGCAGCTAAAGGTAAGAATAAGAGTCAGAAGAAACTTCTCCAGGCCATAATCCTTCTTGGGTCAGGGAGGGCTGTGAGGGCTTTCTAGGCCTCAAGAGCAGTAGCTTGAGGATGCAGCCTGGGAAATGGGAAGATGAGAAGACTGAATGCCTGGGGTTTAGCACCAAGGCCACCTTAGTGAGCAGGGGAAGGAATGGGTGGGAATGAAGTGAGGAAGAGAAGTCTGTGTAAAGGGGAAGAACTTAGGACTGGGGGAAATGCTCTTTATTTCTAGCTTTATTTTTATTGAAAGAGACTTGAGTGTTTGGGACAGGGGGTGATGAAGGAAAGTTAAACCCAGAAGGGACTGCCTGGAAGAAGTGAGATCTCTATGTGGCAGGACCCAGCACTTTGGGTGTGTGGTGGGCATGGGCTGTCACTCTTTACTTGCAGAGAAATACTTGCCTCTGCTCTCGTACCCTTGGGTCACAGCTGACTGGCTGCGCAGTGGGCCCTGGATGTAGTAGTCACCCTGCCCTTCCCATACAACTGGGCTATGTGATTCCCAGCACATTTTCCTTTTGGCCTACACTAGTTCCTGTCAGGTTTAGGTCTCTTGCAAACACACAGCCCTGAGTAGAACGTAAGAGAGTGAAGAGAGAGGAGTTAAGGGATGAGGAATATGTCTATAAACTGTGGGAGAGGAGAGAAGCTAGGAGCTGAGCTAATTCCGGCTTGAAGACATCTGTTTAGCAACTGGGTGCTATTTAAAATATCAGCCTAACCGAGACATTGGCATGGTGTTCAGCAGGAAGCATAGATGGCCAGAACACACTTGTGAGCCCCGTTCAAGGCCAGGTCGGGTGACAGGAGGTAAGGCAGCCTGCTGGGAGGTGGGCAGGCAGCCCAGGGGTCTGTCAATGGCCTCACCTGCATGTTCACTGAACAGCTTGTGGACCCAACACCCAAATATGGCCGGACTTGGCCACACAGAGGAAACAGAGGGTAGCCTGTATGAAGCCAGGGTCTCCTCAAATCTGGCACCCCTTACCAAAAAATTCCCAGATTTTATCTTTGCTTAATTGGGAAACAGTCTTGAGTTCACTGTCTCTTGGAGTTCCTTAACTTCTTCAGAACAGTCAAGTGCCTCTAATGACTTATGGTCACCTCTTGCAAGAGGTGGTCTGTTGGAGAGCCACTTCCTTCACAAAAACATCCTGGATACGTGGTACACAACTGGGCTCCCCTCCTGGAGCCACTGCGTGTTAACTAATGGCTTTGCCTGAACCTCGAGGCTCTGCAATGTGGTTCTACTTGGCCTTTTTTTTTTTTGAGTTGGGGTCTCACTCTATTGCCCAGGCTGGAGAGATGTGGCATGACCATGGCTCACTGCAGCCACGATCTCTGGGCTCAGGTCATCCTTCTGCCTCAGCCACCTAGTAGCTGAGACTCCAGGCACGTGCCAACCTGCCTGGCTAATTTTTTGCTTTTTTGTAGAGATGACGTCTCACTATATCACTTAGGGTAGTCTTGAACTCCTGGACTCATGCAATCCTCCTGCCTTGGTCTCCCAAAGTGCTGGGATTACAGGTGTGAGCCACTGTGTCTCGCCTCCTTTACTCCTTTTTATTCATTTAAATTTCCAGCATCCTGTGGGTACGGTTCAAGTTCCACCTCCTCCTAGAAGCACAGCACTACTGACCCCTGAATGTGCTTCCATGCACTTGGCTGAGATGCCGCCTCTCACTCTGGAAGCCTCTGAACCCAGAGCCTGTATGGGTTCTTCAAGAAAGGCCCAAGAACCACAGGTGTCCTCAGCCCTGCCTGACAGCCATGGCAAGCAGCTCACTCTCCTGTACCTGGGATGAGCTTCTTATGAGATCTGGAGGCAACAGACAGACCCATCCTCCTAGCTGTGCCTCCAACTAAAGACTACATTTCCAGCACCTGTTGCAGTTAGGTGTGGTTGTGACCAGGTGAAAAATCTGCTTAGGGAGCCAATGCAATATGAGTGAAAATGAAAAGTACAGATTTAGCTTCATATCCTTAAACATAAGTGACTTGTTTTCCATGCTCTTTCCTCATTCCAGTTTGTAGGATGGACATGGTAGTGACTTAGCTTCAACCTGACTATGAGAATAACATCCTAAGGTTACTGGATCTCTAGACAGGGCAGACTGTTATGTGAGAAATAAATGAACAC